TTTGATCTATTATTTTTTGCTTGCATATCTCTTTTTTTTTTTTTTTTGGAGCAAGGTGCTGCTGTCAAAAGATAATTACGTCATCATTATGGTTGCCAATTAACTTCAGAAATGGAAAATAATGGACAATTGTGATTCTTTATCTTTTATTCTTTAAGAAAATAGTGTTTATTCTTGTATTCTTGCGAAAAATAAGTGTTTATTATTTAAGAAAATAAGGGACAGAATAAGGGACGCTCCAAATATACTGATTGTAATAATGTAAGCTGTCTGCATGCAGGTAAAACGTTCTCAGAAATAATCACAATCGTTTTGTTAAACGTATTTGTGTACAATTATTCTAAAAATAATTTGAATGTCATACAAAAAATGTGATCGGCCTGAGTAAATTGTACCAATATAGAATTGTGACGTCACAAATCACAAGTGTATAATTTAGGAGGTGAAAATACCGTGAAATTACAAATGGCATGAAATTTGAAAGCTAACAACTGATGGTCTATGAAACGTCAGTCAGTAAAGCATTTTAAACAATGGCAATTAAAGTTTTGAACTAAAATATAATTACAACCATATAGCCTTTGAATGAATAAAAATGCATATTTTTTAAATTAAAGAAAACTTAGAGAGTGTGGGCTGCTTCTGGTGCTTGGATTTGTACTTCATTAATGAGGTCCACGTTTAAGAATAGCCTACACTAGAAGTTCTCTCTCACTCTCTCTCTCTCTATTTAACAGCATTAGCTTACAATGAAAGACGTCTTCCCTCAGGTAGACTGAATGTCTTCCTGCCTTGCTGGAAGTTGGGCTCATGATCAGTAAGTTGTTTGCTTTGGCCCAAACCGATTTGGCAAAATCAAAACTCGGATGGTGAAGGGGATTGCGGTTAACGTGAGTCCCGCTGGTTGTGAAGCGGGAGCAGCCAGCAGAGGATTCCGCTTGGTCTTAAAAGCCTTCCTCAAACGGCTTCTTCACAAATAAAACAATGATTTGCGCAAAAAGAATGATTAATTATCAATTGAGAATTTGTTATTGATATGGTCTTATGAAAATAATAATATGGGGTGAGAGAAAATAATAAATAAAAAGAGTGGGGCTGCTATGAGTGCAGGAAGTCTAGGGACAGCATCCATTTTTCAACCCAGTGGCATGACGACACTGGACCTTGCGGCCAAAAATACAGACCGGCCCACCAGGAATCCTCCCGGTGCTCCCGATTAGCCAATCCGGGCCTGACTAGAGCTGATTACAGAAGTGCTTTCACAATGACTTGTGTCCTTTTCATGCTTCATTACCAAAATGAGGGAACCATCTACATCACGGGGAACAAATTTGTTGCAAAGCAAGTAGAAAGATCTTGTATCTGAACATGCAGACCAAGGTTTTTATGAGCTTCTACTGTGCTCTCTAGATCATAATGCTGCATTAAAGTCATTTGTACTTACAGGTTTGGAAGTCATAATTACAGTTTGATGCATCGTCCAGTGACTTGACACTTCCTGACAAAAACCGCAAGCTTTTTTAGTGCTAATGCAACAAAATAAAGACAAAATAACTGATTTAGATCCAATCCTTGCGCAACATTAGCATGCAAACAATTCCCTGATGCATTCCCTTCAAACCTGAAAACTCTGAGGGGAAGTCAATCACCTTTTGTCTTAGACCTGCAATTATTCCTCGCCATCTCGCCGTACCCTCCTGTTAGATGATTTACTGAGGCGGGAACATCTTAAACACGGAACAGTATTATTCTCTTGGAGAGACAACAGGATAATTTCAGGGAAGCTCTAAAGCACTGGAGCATTACTTAAACAAGCCCTTTATCTCCTCAATCTGTTCGCTCCCAGTTTAGGGCACATCCCGAAAAGCCGCCCCATTACAAGGCCAAATGGGATTTCTAATTGGCGACGGTTTTTAAAATCAGTGTTGGATCATCGGTTGATTTGGTCAACAGCAAGTAAACGACCTCTACAAAATGTTTACAAGCTTTTCGTAAAGTCTTGTTTCATTATTTCCTCATTTCATCCTAATTGAAATGCTTTCGTTTTTACCATAGTCCTTTTGTACACTTGATGTCTCTTTTCCCTGAAGGTCTTCATTGTCTCCTTGTCCCTGTTACAACATCCGTAATAGTACCTGAGATTTTTAGCTGTTGTTTGAGAGATAACCTTCAGACTTTATTACACTAGAAGATTGGGAGGAGGATGCCGTGTAATTACCTTGAGAGACAGGTTGTTAATTAATAAAGTGCCTCTCCTTGACGTCTTTGTATCATGTTATTGGCTGGAAAGTGGTAGAAAGAGATGGTGAAATACTGGAATTGCAAAAACAATTCCAATCCAAATAGGTCCTAGATATAAATAATCCCATGCCATTGGTTGAGCAACAAGTTCAAACAAACAAATCAACATTTTAAAAGTATTACAGAGCCCAAATTGTTGAACTCTTCAGGAGTTCTGTTTATTTTTTTTATGAATTGATACTTTTATTCACCACTGATGCATTAAATTGAATTAAACAAATGTTGTTCTTCATACTTTGTTCATTACAGACCTCTAGAAAAAAATTATGTATTGCTGTTTCCACACTTCATTAAGCAGAGCCACCGTTTTCAACTGTTATAATAAGAGAAAATGTTTTTGAGTGCCAATTCAGCGCAATAGAGTGTTTCGAGGGATGGTTTCTGAAAATGGAGCCCTGCTATCCCAGGTAAACATAGTCCTAAATATAATAGAAAACAATTAATTTAAATGGCAGTAATATGACTGCGGTAATAATTATAAAAGCAACAATATTACTAAAACTTTTTAAAATTTAGATGAAAATTACATATAAAATATTTAATTCAAAAAGATTAACTATATAATAAAAACATTTTTTAAAATCTAAAATAACACTGTTTTGATCCATTAAATGCAGACTTGGTGAACAAAAAAATAAAATTGTTTCAAAAAGAAAAATTTCTCACTGATTCCAAACTTTTGAAAGGTAATATGAAAATTCATTATTCTAACCCTGTTTTTTTTTCCTCCCAACTTCTCTCTGTAAATAGTGTGAGCGCCTTCTAAAAATGTAGCTAGAGTCATCAAAGTAAGAAGCACTATAACTCACACACATCAAATATACTCTTCCAAACCACGAGACATGAATAAGTCTTAGCAAATGCCATTAATAATAAATAATTTTGCGTTGCTCATTCTGTTTACTGAATAAAGTCAAGCCATAGCTATTACTGTTGGTTATACTTAAGATTAGTCATTTTAACAAACCTCTAGGCCTAAATATTACACTTTGGTGTAGCTTACACAGTTCAAAGATTTGGCAATGTTTAAACATTTTATGTTAGCTTGACAAACTGCAGAGCAACAACCCAAAACACCCGCACCACTGCCTGTGTCAGATCTAAGCTATAAACTATCTTCTTTCTGTCAAATGCAAAGAAACAACACCACAGTAAAATCAAGTAATAAATTCACCATACTAGCCCAGTTGTTTACTTACATTGAGAGTTGCCAAATTGTTTTCTGAAATGTAAATGTTTAAATATGCAAATAGGGCACAATCTAATTGAATATGCACTAATAAACATAATTCTAAACATTGGTTTCATTTTGCTGATGTAATAAAGGATTCTACAAAGGGGGTATGGATATCTGTGTTTATCACGCATAAATAAATCAGAAAACACTGTCAACAGCCAGAAAAGGAAAATTAAAATAAAGAAAAAAATAAATACATTTCCAACATTTTTTTTGCATGTAGTGTCTTGACGTAAAACAACAAATAACAATCTAACCTGATTCTTGATTAATCTAGTCAAAATTTTTGTCTGAAAATGTGGCTGGAACAAATAATTTTTCAACTTGCTGTGACTTCCTACAGAGTTAACTTAGAATAATTTGATTTGGCCGTGATCTTGCTAACAAGAAGTTCTTCCACAATTCCACCATTCATCGATTTCTCATGAGTGTGAACATGGCAAAGTGGTTTTATTCTCAGAGGCGAAATCATAAAGTGGCCGGTTTCCAATGGCAACCATGTGATTGTTCAGCTTCACGGCTGTTAATTTGCTCTTTGTAAGGACAGCACTGCTGTCTCCATTCACATCACACACAACATAAACCATATTCTTCCTTTAAGGGCAAACAACGAGGGAGGAAATAATAACAAGATCATAACTGTTTATGCTAAACTAGTTCTTTGGGGTCAAGTTATGGTTTTTTGATGAGAGGCTTAATAACAGCCAGTTTGAAGGTTTTGGGGACATAACCTAATGACAATGATGAATTAATAATAGTCAGAAGAGGATCTATGACTTCTGGAAGCACCTCTTTTAGGAGCTTAGATGGAATAGGGTCTAACATACATGTTGTTGGTTTAGATGATTTAACAAGTTTATACAATTCTTCCTCTCCTATACTAGAGAATGAGTGGAATTGTTCCTCAGGCGATCTATAGCAAGCTATCTGATGCGATACTATAGCTGACGGCTGCATGGTTACAATTTTATCTCTAATAGTATCGATCTTAGAAGTAAAGTAGTTCATAAAGTCATTACTGCTGTGCTGTTGGGAAATGTCATGACTTGTTGATGCTTTATTTTTCGTAAATTTAGCCACTGTATTGAATAAATACCTGGGGTTATGTTTGTTTTCTTCTAGAAGATAAGAAAAGTAATCAGATCTAGCAGTTTTTAATGCTTTTCTGTAGGATAGGTTACTTTCC